GTCTTAGACATTTTAAGCCTCTATTATTTTCAATGCCTCGCTCTATTAAGTTCTCGTTCCATTTTTGTATGTCGCGTTTTAGTTCTTTTTTGAAAAATTTTCTAAAATTTTGTGTAGAGCTGCTAATTTACGAGATACAGCGCGAAAATCCTCTGCTCCCTTTTTTCAAGTTGGCGCCGGGGGAAAAGAGTGGCGACCCCATAAACTTGAATTAAGCTTTATTATACTAACTACCCCAACATATCAAAAAAATAAAATTGGGTCCTCTCAAAAATGTAATTTTGAGGTAACTTTTCAATGGACTAAAAACAAAAATGACAACTTTTTAATCAGTTCAAGTCTTATTTTGAGCATTCTTGCAGCTTGTAATTTAACAAATGCATGTAAATAAATAATATATAAATAGTATATCTTCGTTTTCAAGTTTTTGGTGCTAAAGTCTTTAAAGTAGCTCTAAAATTGTATGCTGTGTCTCAAAAGTTGTGACTTTTCCTCGATAAGACATTTCATCTGTTTGTTCGTCCCAGTTAAAACAGTTAAACTGTTGTTTTTTGATTAGAAATTAATCTATTATATTATAATGATAACTAAACTATTAGCTACCTACGAATATGTTTGAATTAAATAATGATTCAATATCGTGAAACAAGGAAGACGCAAAATATTGAAATCACGACATCCCCACCCACAAAGAATTTCCTTTTTAGTAGAATTATTCATTTTGTTTGTATGCCTTTAAATATTTCCAAAGGTCACACAGTATGAAATAATTCACTGTTATATCAATATTAAATTGCTGGTAAAATGCTACTTGCGTTTTTACTGAGAATATACACACTTTTCTCAACCATGTTTTTCCGGATTCCGACCTATTTCCAATTGACTTCTTCTAAAAAAGGTAATGTTATTTTTCTAGGCGCATCTTTAATATGTTTTTTATTAATTAACACGTTAGTATTCAATGACAGTTTCTAATGTGACACATTTTGACAGGAGGAAAGATGTTTCCATATCTCATTGAAGAAAAAGAATGTAAAAAGTTACCCAAAAGTGAGTCGCCTAGCAGAAGATGCTCAATTGATAGAGGAATACCAGGAGATATTTCTTCTGGTCAGCACAACTTTTCCCCAGAATTCAAAGTAAGATATATAAAAAACTAAGTTTTCAAATGGTCGATTTTTTTCTGGTATAAAACGATGTAGTCGTATTTTTTAAATATTTTTGAAGCAAATTACTGTAAATAAAAAATATTGTTTATATATTTACTACAATTTACAAAAAAGAATGAACATTTGATTTATATATTATTTCTTTAAAAATATCTAATTGTTTGTTTCTAAGTTAGATTTCTTAATATTTAACTGTATTCCAGATATTTAAAATGCGATTAAAATAAATTAGCCTTGAAAGTCAGTCCAGTTTCTGTTAATTTTTCAGTTTTTGCTTCGTCTAAAACTCGTCTCCTTGCTTTTGGTCTCCAATCACACTTCTTCTTCTTTGAGTGCCTCTCCTATCGGAGATTGGATATCATTATGGCGATTCTAATTTTATTAATTGCTGTTTTGAATAATTCGTTAGTGGTACAGCCAAACCACTCTCTTAAATTTCCCATCCAGGACATTCTTCTACGGCCTGGATTACTGCGTCCTTGGATTTTTCCTTGCATTATATTTTGTAGGAACGTGTACTTTTTCCCTCTTATTAGGTCGCCTAAGTATTCAAGTTTTCTCTTTTTTATATTCATAATAACTTCTGTATCGTTATTTATTCTGCGTATTACCTCTTCATTTGTAATTTTATCCACCCAACTTATTTTTAATATACGGCAAAGCTTTCAAGATTTTTAATATTCCTCTGTTTAAGAGTCCATGCATCAACACCGTAAAGCAAAGTACTGACTACATAGCATTTTAACATTCTAGTTCGTAGATGAATACTAATATCACGATTACAAAATAATTTTTTCATTTTTATAAAGGTAGACCTGTCAATTTCAATACGTCTTTTTATCTAGTGATTTTGGTCACCTGTTTCATTAATGAGCGTTCCCAAGTATTTGTATTCGCTTACTTTTTCAAGTTGGGTACCGTTTATTGCGATACTAGTGTCATGTATTGGATTCTTACTGAAGGTCATATATTTGGTTTTTTTGACGTTCATCCTTATGCTGTAGTTAATACATATTTCATTCATACTTTCAACTAGATGTTGTAGATCTTCCGCTGTTCTTCCGGAAGATCCAATCACACTAGGAATTTATAATCTGTGACCTTCACCTAGCCGAATTGACATAAATAATGTGTAAATCACCCATAAATATCCATATATGAACTTCTCCTTATCTTATAGACTACAAGCCCATGCGACATTTTTAATGGGTCATTTGACCCAGCATGAATCAATTCTACAATATGTAATAACAACTTTAGAAACTATGCCGTATATTATTATTGGTACACAAAGCATGGGGGTTCAAATTAATGGTTGCGCTTTCGATTTCTTACCCCCTTCATGTAAGCGAGGTTCCTAAAACCGCTACTCTGCCGCTTCTCGCATTTTGACCGCCATCGCATTCTGTCCATCCATTCGTCTTCTTCCAGGAAACTGAATGCCTTCCCCTTCTTCTTCTTTGTTGTTGTATGTAATTTAAAGCTTTCTTTGATCATCTATCTTCATTCATTCGCTTCAGGTGACCATACCACATTAGTTGTCTCGCTTCAATTCTGTCTACATTGGAATATACAGTATTTGTCCTCCTTCTAATATCTTCATTCCTAATATGATCGTTTTTGGATACACCACACGCTCTCCTTAGAAAATCCATTTCTACTACTTCTATTCTTTTTCTATCTTTTTTCGTGATCTGCCAAACTTCTGCCCGTTAAGTCATAATAGGCTCTACCACGGTTCGACAGATTGTCAATTTCCTCTCTTGTCTAATATCTTTAGACCATAGTATATGAGTATATAATATATTTAGACCATAGGATAGAGTTTAGAATGTTTACCGCTTTTTTTCCCTGCTGCGTTTTGTTTTCGATGTCTCTTTTGGCAATGCCTTCTTTAGATATTATAGATCCGAGATATCTATATTCATTGCATGATTTTGTGTTTCTATTTTCTAACTCTCGATCTTCTTCATCATCTCCATTTTATGATTCTCTGTCTTTGACATATTCATATTGAGGCCCCATTTTTCATACTCTTTCTTTAGTTTTCTAAACATGTAGTCCATGTCTTCCTTATCATTCGCTACGACTATCTGATCATCTGCGAAAAATAAAGTTGTTAGATATTTACCACCTTCTATGTCTATTTTCATTCCGTATGTTTGTTTTCTCCAGTGCGCAAGCGATGATTAAATATATATTTTAAATAAGGTCGGGGATAGACAACATCCTTGTTTAAGCCCCTATAAGCTTCTAGAAAGTATTTTTTACATCCAGCTAGCTCCGTTACCTTCCACACACTCAGTGGCGTACCCAGAGGAGTTTTTGGGAGTTAACCTAATTTAACAAAACGCTAATTTAACAATTAAATTACCTGTAACGATCTGTACACGTGAAAGGTTATTTTCATCGCTGAAAATACTAAACACTTATTTAAGAAATTGTATTAGCGAAGAAAGACTAAATGGTTTAGCTTTGATCTTTAGGTATCCATCAGGACATTCAAATAGATGAAGAAGAGGTAATAAAGCATATGGCTCTAAAGCAACGCCTTTTAGACATTTTAATATAAATTTAATTTGTTTACAAATTATTATTTAACATACAGTTCAGGATTTAAATTAATATTTTTCATTATATTTAGATATAGATACCTAATATTAGGCTCATGATAATAGTAGACAGAACGAGTCTGTTGCGAGTAGCATGCGCCTACAGTACTGCATCTGCGGCGGCCCTGTGGAATATCACGGGTTGTGTTCCTCTGCAGTATTAGCAGTAGAAGAGAGCATCTCTATGAGAGAAGGGAGCATTTCCAAAAGCCACAAAAAGGAAGAAAGAAAAAGATCAATGAAAATATGGCAAGAAGAGTGGAACAACACGGAAGATGTTGCCCAGAGGACCAAGATGCTGATCCGAAGCCTAAGGAACTGGGTAGATGGTCTGTTTTAGGGCTTATCTTCATAGGTTCAGAAAGACAGATACAGATAAATGCGAATATTCACTGTTACTCACACAATGCTGGAGTGTTATAGATGTACAGTGGAGGGAAACAGAATGTATAGAGAAATAGGTATGAACTCTGTGACTGTGAGAGAGATAATCGTGAAGATGACGGGAAGTAAGCGGGGATCGAATAGAGTTCACAATTACATCCGAACAGTAATTAAAAAGAAAGAAGAAGAGAAACACCAACCACACCAACGACAGTTATAAGATCTAGATAAGAGAAGGGACTGTTCCAAAAATATCGTCAGCCTTACAACTTACAGCGACCCTCCCACTTTCGGAGTATGATACGTGCGACAGTCAACTGCGAACAAGTAGGAGAGAGTGGTTTTAGTTGGTAGGCAGGATAACAGATACTTGAATCTTTGGGACTGCTACCTTTAGTACTTCAAATTAAACTAGAACCCAAATGACTCAAAATGGAGATAGTATAAAAGACATTTCGGTGCTCAACCTAACCCCCCACCAGGAATATTCTAGATGCGCTACTGTACACACCTCATGATCTTGTCTTTATCTCCTTCAAACTCTCCTTCTTCATCCCCTCAAATTGACAGGGCTGCATACTATCACCATTATTATATAACATATATTCTGAATATATAATGAGGACAGTACCAGTCAAAAGGGATCACTGAACGGCTAATCCGGATAAGCAAATTTTTGCAATAATAATTGTAAATTTTTCTTTTTTCTGTGTATTCCAATATTTTCCATTGGCTACTTTTGAATAAAAATATCATATAATATGTACTGTATATGCACTGCAGTGCATATGTATTCTTTCTTTTATAATTTTACTGAGCATTAAATTTGTTGTAGATTCTGTGTCACCATATTCTAGTCCTCCAAAGTCTCCAAATACACGAAAATCGAATAAATTCAAGAAGGACTCAGGGTTTTGTTATAAATCCGAAGCTGCCAAAAAGGTAATATATATTGATATTTTTTAAATAAATTATTTTATTTAATTTATTTAAATTAATCTACTCATGATCTTTGTACCGTCGTTCCTAAAATTATTGAGATTATTTAATTTCCAACATTATTTTTATTTGATTTTGTGCTTGGCTGTTTAAGACAAGACCTTATGGTAAACATTGCGTTTCTTAGAAGAATATGGTTGTTTAAATTTGTCTTGGGTTCAATTTACGCGTATCTTACCAGTGGCGTAACTGCTTGTCCATATTTTGTATTTCTTTTTTTTTATTCTGGTTTAAATTGTATAGGTGGAGATTATAGCCAGAAACAGGGATGAGCGCAGACAAAAGCAAGCTGATGAGAAAGCACAGAGGGACCAACTTCAACACATGGAACACAAAAATCCATTTTACGAGTTTGTTCAAATGATAAATGAGTATAGAAACAATATAGAGTTTAGACCCCTAAGAGAGAGTGATCCTGTAATAGAAAATCAAATCACTGTAAGTACAATATTATTTTTGTGAATATATTTTAATCGAAAAAGAAATGACAGCTTTAAAAAATTCAAAATATAAATAAAAAACCATTGGCATTATCGTGTCCACACAATGATATACAGCTATGTCTTTGTGGCGATTAAGATAAGAATTTATAAATATACAATGTTATTATAGTAAAAAACGAAATAAAAACGCAACACATTGTTTATGGTTATGGTAGATCGGAGCAGAACCCATTTATGAGCCCTTCAGACACCTAGAACTCCTAAGACGGGTTCATTATATCATCCCTATCATACGGAATAGTCCCATAAGGACCTAATCTTCGGAGTTTCTGGTGCCCAGGCTGTTCCGGGCTCCCATACCTGCTGATCAGCAGGGGCTGATAATCAGCCCCTGCTGATTACTGCAGATACAGCCCTTCCTGCCATTCTGAACGTCTAATCCTTTAGTAGCCTTGTGGCCTATCAGAAAGTCACTTGTCTCTTTAAGGATAATCCCCTTATTTGGCTTGGTTGTATAAAAATCGAACCCAGGATCTGCCACCTCTAGTAGGCTAGTGCCGAACACTTCCAGAGGACATGTGAGGAGGTTTCTTCCTCCTCATTATAAAGACTGCACCGTGGGCTATCCGACAATTCAAGCAGATGAAGGTGTCGAGTATACAGTGTCCGGTAAGCATACTGATTACCAGAGAGCACCTTCTACGGTCTAGATAGAAACGTTGGGCTGTAAGACTTTTGCCTAGCTGGTCTCATACCTCGACAACTGGCCCAGGGATCATGGAACCTCCGCAGAAGAAGTTCTCTGAAACTACCCTTACCAGTACTGAGGGCATTTTAATTACAGGTTTGGGTCCTACCCATCGAGCAATAAGACAAAAGAAGGAATCTAATGCTTATGAAAAGGAGACCAAAAAAGTGGCCTCTGATGGCGGACATATCCGGAAATGCGAATGCGCTAAATTTAAATTTTCCGACACTTGTTAACAGTAGCTATATAATATTTTTCAGAATGTCTCTTAGACTATAAAGTTTTAATTAATTATGAACGGTAATAGTCTAAAATGCGACACAATTATTAAAAAAACTTCAATATAAATAAGATTTCATGTGACATTTGTGACAAACAATAACATAACCCAACTAAATTTGATGCCAAACAAGGAGAGAGACTCTCTTTCCTTGTTTAAAGTGACCTCTAAAGATCGCACTTCCTGTCTAACAATCTTTTGCCCTCACTACCTTTACATTCCCTCTTTTGTCTTTTTGCTCGATGGTCCCACCGGTAGAGTGAATGAGCCCTGTCATGCCAGTGTGTCAGCTCGTTCGTTGTCTTCCACGCCTGTGTGTCCCGTTACCTATACCAAGTTAATCACATTAGTCCGAGAAACATCAGCAAGTGCCCTCTTGCACTCAAGAACCAGCTTAGAGCTGTCTTTGGGCGCTTCTGAGCAAGCCCTATCAATTATCTCCTGAGCACATACCAGGATTGCAAAAAACTCGGCCTGAAAGACTGATGTATGGGAGCCGAGAGACAGGCCAGGAATCACGAATAGTTTCACCCCCTGGATCTTTTGCTTCTTTGATAGCTCGTGGACTGTATATTTATTTCTTCTATAAGGTTAGTTAAAGATAACTGTAATCATGATTTATACAATGTATATACATTATAAATTATTATTTGAGAGTGCTCCTTGTAACATTTAACATTTTTGGTTTGTTTATTTCTAGTGCGTCTTGATTATGATTTTAGTATAGTACATGATTTATTTACAACACTCTTTCAACAGTCTTTACAACACATTTTTTACTAGTGAGTACATTTGCTGACCTATCCCGTGTGTAAGCATACTGAAGTTTGTAATGAAGTGAAAAGAAATGTCTTTCTGTTGGGTAAAATGTCAATTTAACCCCCAGTTTGGCTAGCGTAGTGGTAGCCTTAATTTCTTTTATATCTCGGAATACTTTTTCTTGATGTCTGACCTTCAACAGGTCAGGAACACGTAATTTGAGACTACGACCTGAAAACTTAGAAAACATTGTTAATAAATCAATACAAAATAAAAAAATAATAAAGCAGTTTTTCTTTGTAGGTGTGTGTGAGGAAACGGCCGGTTAATGAAAAGGAATTATCTAGAAGAGAGGTCGATGTAATATCAGTTCCTACCAAAAATCAACTCGTTGTTCACGAGCCCAAACACAAAGTGGACTTAACGAAATATGTAGATAATCAACATTTTAGGTTTGATTATGTATTTGACGAAAACTGTGGCAATAACTTGGTGTATAAATTCACTGCGAGACCTCTGGTGAAGACTATTTTTGAAGGAGGTATGGCAACCTGTTTTGCGTATGGGCAGACAGGATCTGGAAAAACACATACTATGGGTGGCGAATTTAAAGGTATGTTTAATAATTCTAGAGGATATTCCTATTTAATTAAGTAATTTATATCTAAAATAAAAAGATATTTTAAGTCATGAAAGCTTAGAACGGAAAGTAAAACAAGAAATGGCTGAAGCTAGTGAGACAGTAGGATAATTAAATGATAAAACATCGTCACTGCTGCTATAGCTCTGAAGAAGAGCTTCGACTTCCTTAATTCTTCTTTGTCAAATTACTACAGACTAATAAGGTTTTTATCTTGACACTCAAAATGCCAGGGTACTGAAAGCGAAAGGTTTTTTTAATCTATAATGCTTATAAAAACATATTCTATTCATTTACTGGTAATTTGAGAAATTTATTGATAATTTTTATTTATAATCAAATTATTGTAAAAAATGAACTTTTTGGCGTTTTTGCTTTATCATTAAAAAGTATAAAGTTTTGAAGGTTTACTAGTATGTATAACCATCTTTTTAATCAAGCAAACAACTCCAAAATGAGGATTAAAAAAATATATACCTATTTGTTGTTTAGATAAATGGAAAAATGAGCAAAATTAAAACAAAAATTATATCTTTTGCAAAAATTGTTTTAAGACTTTGAAATTTTCTTCAAAGTTGGATCTTGTAATGCTAAATTTTTGATAAAAAGGTCCAAAAAATTTGTTGAACTGTTTAAATTTTATTTTATTTGTTTATCCCACAAAGCTGTTGAAATAACATAATATAGTTAGAACAATTTTTTGGCTCCCAAATGAGAGTAAGCCTTCTTCTTTGAAAATAGTAAAAACAATTAAAGAAAAAAAAATTATTATTAAAAAATAATTTTACAAAATATGCAAATTTTTTACTTTTAAACAAATACACTGGGGTGCAAAATTAATCAGACACTAAAATTTTTCCTAAAAACTGGCGTTAAACAAAATTTAAGATTAATTGCTATTTAACTGGGAATAAGCCACAATTAAAGATAAAAATACGTTTATTGACGTTTCAATCTCCACTTCGGAAATCGTTCTCTAAATACAAACAGTAAATTAAACAAATTTTGTTTTTTGTTACATAGTGAAAAATTCTTCTAATAATTTAATTTTATCTGACTCATTTATATTGACAATTCAAACATACATTATGTTTGAAAAAAATCATAGCATGTAATTTGTCTTTAAAAAGACAAACACATGATATGATGACAGTAAAACCCCAGTAAAACTCCAGTAAACAGTAAAACTCCCTCAAAACTCGACGGTTCTCGAAATAATGATAATATTCCATAATTTAGCCGTTCACTGTATGTTTATTGTTAAAGGTAATGTGTTTTAGGAAAACTGCAAAATTTTAGAAGTGGAATCTATGGATTGGTAGCTCAAGATGTATTTAAGTATTTAAAAAAGCCAAAATATGCTAAGCTGAACTTTACAGTTTCGGCTAGTTTTTTCGAAATTTATGGAAAATTGGTGTTTGATCTTCTGTCTAAAAAGAACAGATTGCGTGTTTTAGAAGACGCAAAACAGCAAGTGCAAGTAGTTGGATTAACTGAAAAAGTCGTTACTAAGGTGAGTGATCATTTCATATTTTGCAATCGAACGTGGTATTCAGCATAATTTTGCAATAAATGTGTGTGTGTGTGTGTGTGTGTGTGTGTGTGTGTGTGTGTGTGTGTGTGTGTGTGTGTGTGTGTGTGTGTGTGTGTGTGTGTGGTGTGTGTGTGTGTGTGTGTGTGTGTGTGTGTGTGTGTGTGTGTGTGTGGTGTGTGTGTGTGTGTGTGTGTGTGTGTGTGTGTGTGTGTGTGTGTGTGTGTGTGTGTGTGTGTGTGTGTGTGTGTGTGTGTGTGTGTGTGTGTGTGTGTGTGTGTGTGTGTGTGTGTGTGGTGTGTGTGTGTGTGTGTGTGTGTGTGTGTGTGTGTGTGTGTGTGTGTGTGTGTGTGTGTGTGTGTGTGTGTGGTGTGTGTGTGTGTGTGTGTGTGTGTGTGTGTGTGTGTGTGTGTGTGTGTGTGTGTGTGTGTGTGTGTGTGTGTGTGTGTGTGTGTGTGTGTGTTGTGTGTGTGTGTGTGTGTGTGTGTGTGTGTGTGTGTGTGTGTGGTGTGTGTGTGTGTGTGTGTGTGTGTGTGTGTGTGTGTGTGTGTGTGTGTGGTGTGTGTGTGTGTGTGTGTGTGTGTGTGTGTGTGTGTGTGTGTGTGTGTGTGTGTGTGTGTGTGTGTGTGTGTGTGTGTGTGTGTGTGTGTGTGTGTGTGTGTGTGTGTGTGTGTGTGTGTGTGTGTGGTGTGTGTGTGTGTGTGTGTGTGTGTGTGTGTGTGTGTGTGTGGTGTGTGTGTGTGTGTGTGTGTGTGTGTGTGTGTGTGTGTGTGTGTGTGTGGTGTGTGTGTGTGTGTGGTGTGTGTGTGTGTGTGTGTGTGTGTGTGTGTGTGTGTGGTGTGTGTGTGTGTGTGTGTGTGTGTGTGTGTGTGTGTGTGTGTGTGTGTGTGTGTGTGTGTGTGTGGTGTGTGTGTGTGTGTGTGTGTGTGTGTGTGTGTGTGGTGTGTGTGTGTGTGTGTGTGTGTGTGTGGTGTGTGTGTGTGTGTGTGTGTGTGTGTGTGTGTGTGTGTGGTGTGTGTGTGTGTGTGTGTGTGTGTGTGTGTGTGTGGTGTGTGTGTGTGTGTGTGTGTGTGTGTGTGTGTGTGTGTGTGTGGTGTGTGTGTGTGTGTGTGTGTGTGTGTGTGTGTGGTGTGTGTGTGTGTGTGTGTGTGTGTGTGTGTGTGTGTGTGTGTGTGTGTGGTGTGTGTGTGGTGTGTGTGTGTGTGTGTGTGTGTGTGTGTGTGTGTGTGTGTGTGTGTGTGTGTGTGTGTGTGTGTGTGTGGTGTGTGTGTGTGTGGTGTGTGTGTGTGTGTGTGTGTGTGTGTGTGTGTGTGTGTGTGTGTGTGTGTGTGTGTGTGTGTGTGTGTGTGTGTGTGTGTGTGTGTGTGTGTGTGTGTGTGTGTGTGTGTGTGTGTGTGTGTGTGTGTGTGTGTGTGTGTGTGTGTGTGTGTGTGTGTGTGTGTGTGTGTGTGTGTGTGTGTGTGTGTGTGTGTGTGTGTGTGTGGTGTGTGTGTGTGTGTGTGTGTGTGTGTGTGTGTGGTGTGTGTGTGTGTGTGTGTGTGTGTGTGTGTGTGTGTGTGTGTGTGTGTGTGTGTGTGTGTGTGTGTGTGTGTGTGTGTGTGTGTGTGTGTGTGTGTGTGTGTGTGTGTGTGTGTGTGTGTGTGTGTGTGTGTGGTGTGTGTGTGTGTGTGTGTGTGTGTGTGTGTGTGTGTGTGGTGTGTGTGTGTGTGTGTGTGTGTGTGTGTGTGTGTGTGGTGTGTGTGTGTGTGTGTGTGTGTGTGTGTGTGTGTGTGTGTGTGTGTGTGTGTGTGTGTGTGTGTGTGTGTGTGTGTGTGTGTGTGTGTGTGTGTGTGTGTGTGTGTGTGTGTGTGTGTGTGTGTGTGTGTGTGTGTGTGTGTGTGTGTGTGTGTGTGTGTGTGTGTGTGTGTGTGTGTGTGTGTGTGTGTGTGTGTGTGTGTGTGTGTGTGTGTGTGTGTGTGTGTGTGTGTGTGTGTGTGTGTGTGTGTGTGTGTGTGTGTGTGTGTGTGTGTGTGTGTGTGTGTGTGTGTGTGTGGTGTGTGTGTGTGTGTGTGTGTGTGTGTGTGTGTGGTGTGTGTGTGTGTGTGTGTGTGTGTGTGTGTGTGTGTGTGTGTGTGTGTGTGTGTGTGGTGTGTGTGTGTGTGTGTGTGTGTGTGTGTGTGTGTGTGTGTGTGTGTGTGTGTGTGTGTGTGTGTGTGGTGTGTGTGTGTGTGTGTGTGTGTGTGTGTGTGTGTGTGTGTGTGTGTGTGTGTGTGTGTGTGTGTGTGTGTGTGTGTGTGGTGTGTGTGTGTGTGTGTGTGTGTGTGTGTGTGTGTGTGTGTGTGTGTGTGTGTGTGTGTGTGTGTGTGTGTGTGTGTGTGTGTGTGTGTGTGTGTGTGTGTGTGTGTGTGTGTGTGTGTGTGTGTGTGTGTGGTGTGTGTGTGTGTGTGTGTGTGTGTGTGTGTGTGTGTGTGTGTGTGTGTGTGTGGTGTGTGTGTGTGTGTGTGTGTGTGTGTGTGTGTGTGTGTGTGTGTGTGTGTGTGTGTGTGTGTGTGTGTGTGTGTGTGTGTGTGTGTGTGGTGTGTGTGTGTGTGTGTGTGTGTGTGTGTGTGTGTGTGTGTGTGTGTGTGTGTGTGTGTGTGTGTGTGTGTGTGTGTGTGGTGTGTGTGTGTGTGTGTGTGTGTGTGTGTGTGTGTGTGTGTGTGTGTGTGTGTGTGTGTGTGTGTGTGTGTGTGTGTGTGTGTGTGTGTGTGTGTGTGTGTGTGTGTGTGTGTGTGTGTGTGTGTGTGTGGTGTGTGTGTGTGTGTGTGTGTGTGTGTGTGTGTGTGTGTGTGTGTGTGTGTGTGTGTGTGTGTGTGTGTGTGTGGTGTGTGTGTGTGTGTGTGTGTGTGTGTGTGTGTGTGTGTGTGTGTGTGTGTGTGTGTGTGTGTGTGTGTGTGTGTGTGTGTGTGTGTGTGTGTGTGTGTGTGTGTGTGTGTGTGTGTGTGTGTGTGTGTGTGTGTGTGTGTGTGTGTGTGTGTGTGGTGTGTGTGTGTGTGTGTGTGTGTGTGTGTGTGTGTGTGTGTGTGTGTGTGTGTGTGTGTGTGTGTGTGTGTGTGTGTGTGTGTGTGTGTGTGTGTGTGTGTGTGTGTGTGTGTGTGTGTGTGTGTGTGTGTTGTGTGTGTGTGTGTGTGTGTGTGTGTGTGTGTGTGTGTGTGTGTGTGTGTGTGTGTGTGTGTGTGGTGTGTGTGTGTGTGTGTGTGTGTGTGTGTGTGTGTGTGTGTGTGTGTGTGTGTGTGTGTGTGTGTGTGTGTGTGTGTGTGTGTGTGTGTGTGTGTGTGTGTGTGTGTGTGTGTGTGTGTGTGTGTGTGTGTGTGTGTGTGTGTGTGTGTGTGTGTGTGTGTGGTGTGTGTGTGTGTGTGTGTGTGTGTGTGTGTGTGTGTGTGTGTGTGTGTGTGTGTGGTGTGTGTGTGTGTGTGTGTGTGTGTGTGTGTGTGTGTGTGTGTGTGTGTGTTGTGTGTGTGTGTGTGTGTGTGTGTGTGTGTGTGTGTGTGTGTGTGTGTGTGTGTGTGTGTGTGTGTGTGTGTGTGTGTGTGTGTGTGTGTGTTGTGTGTGTGTGTGTGTGTGTGTGTGTGTGTGTGTGTGTGTGTGTGTGTGTGTGTGTGTGTGTGGTGTGTGTGTGTGTGTGTGTGTGTGTGTGTGTGTGGTGTGTGTGTGTGTGTGTGTGTGTGTGTGTGTGGTGTGTGTGTGTGTGTGTGTGTGTGTGTGTGTGTGTGTGTGTGTGTGTGTGTGTGTGTGTGTGTGTGTGTGTGTGTGTGTGTGTGTGTGTGTGTGTGTGTGTGTGTGTGTGTGTGTGTGTGTGTGTGTGTGTGTGTGTGTGTGTGTGTGTGTGTGTGTGTGTGTGTGTGTGTGTGTGTGTGTGTGTGTGTGTGTGTGTGTGTGTGTGTGTGTGTGTGTGTGTGTGTGGTGTGTGTGTGTGTGTGTGTGTGTGTGTGTGTGTGTGTGTGTGTGTGTGTGGTGTGTGTGTGTGTGTGTGTGTGTGTGTGTGTGTGTGTGTGTGTGTGTGTGTGTGTGTGTGTGTGTGTGTGTGTGTGTGTGTGTGTGTGTGTGTGTGTGTGTGTGGTGTGTGTGTGTGGTGTGTGTGTGTGTGTGTGTGTGTGTGTGTGTGTGTGTGTGTGTGTGTGTGTGTGTGTGTGTGTGTGTGTGTGTGTGTGTGTGTGTGTGTGTGTGTGTGTGTGTGTGTGTGTGTGTGTGTGTGTGTGTGTGTGTGTGTGTGTGTGTGTGTGTGTGTGTGTGTGTGTGTGTGTGTGTGTGTGTGTGTGTGTGTGTGTGTGTGTGTGTGTGTGTGTGTGTGTGTGTGTGTGTGTGTGTGTGTGGTGTGTGTGTGTGTGTGTGTGTGTGTGTGTGTGTGTGTGTGTGTGTGTGTGTGTGTGTGTGTGTGTGTGTGTGTGTGTGTGTGTGTGTGTGTGTGTGTGTGTGTGTGTGTGTGTGTGTGTGTGTGTGGTGTGTGTGTGTGTGTGTGTGTGTGTGTGTGTGTGTGTGTGTGTGTGTGTGTGTGTGTGTGTGTTGTGTGTGTGTGTGTGTGTGTGTGTGTGTGTGTGTGTGTGTGTGTGTGTGTGTGTGTGTGTGTGTGTGTGTGCAGCGATATTTGTGGTAACCTGTGTGAACATATTCCTGTATTATGGTAACTTCATAAATTGTGGTAACTTACACACGTTACCACTATTTTTTTTCTCAATATCTTCTTCGTTTTAGTAGTATTTACTATCAAAATAATTTTATATGCTCTGGTTTTCATTTGGCTTTCGATAGGTATTTTTTTGCTAGGATAGGACCGAATAGAGCATAAATAAAAAATGTATAACCCTGATTCTGCGTATGTTACCAGAAATCAGGATGAGGCAGATTTAATTTACACACGTAATTGTGGCATCATGGGCGTGGTCGTAAAGTAGCGCCCTCTGAGATGACCTTGCGGTGTTGCACATTTCAGTTGAAATAAAACTAGTCTTATTTCGCATTTGGGA